TTTATAACTATTGGACAATTCATATTAGTAAACGAAGAACATATAGAATATGAAACTACCAATAAAATTGACTATAAAGATTGGAATATCCCCAAAGTCCCTAGTCAAGAAATTTATAAGAAAAAATTGTCACTTTCAAGTTTCAAGTCAACTACCCATGTGAAAACAGTCGAATGAATGGTTTTTTTTAATGGTGGTTGTGAAGATGGCCAAGTAGTTGGCTGGAACCAAGTCAAGGTCTTGGCCTCTCATGTCAGTTAGTTGGCTGGAGAATGACGTCTTGGTTGAAGAGATGGTTTGGACATGAGAGGACCCACGTGGGTTTACCTTGGTATTCTCAAATTTGGTTCAAATTTGCATGAGTATTAAAAGGCTGTGAGCAATATATATGTTGCATATTATACTTTGTATATGTATGTGATAATATCATAAAATTAAAGGCCTATGACTTGGGAGGTTGGGGATAAAAATGAAAGGCCAACTAAGTGGCCTACGAACTCCCTTTCTCTATCTAAATATATTTATATATGGCAATATAGGCATCTTAACGTATAATTATTTTGTCATATATATTAATATTGAAAACTAAGAAGTCATGTAGACCTTAGCCAAGTTTCTTGGATGGACTTATTTGAATTCCAAGTCACCCAACATCGGTGGATTATGTTTAATCAAAATTAGAGACTCCGGAACCCACAACGTCTCACCAGATGTTAAGCCCAAGTCCTCGGAGGTCCAAGCCCAACCCGCGAAAGTAGGCCCCAAAACCTCCGGATGTTTTCATGCACGTGACGAGATCCATCCAAGGAAAGCAATCAAAGAGAATGATGTCAATTTGGAACGTTCCTCAGGAGGAGAGAATCAATTTATCATATTTGCAATCCGATGATCTCATTCGAATCAATTCCATGAATTTAGGAAGCCACACAAGGAAAGATTTTGAACGAAGTTGACCTTTGGCCATTTAATGGCCAGCCCATGGACTGACGAATGACCCTATATAAACTACATCAGACAAAGAACAAAGGACCTTGACATCAGACACAAAAACCTACTTTTTGTCTTTCAATTTTCTATCCCTACACTAGGTTTTTATTTTCCAAGTAAGTAGACTAGATCAATTCTTCACTTTCATTAGTGTAAGTTTAATTTCTTGTATTTTCCTTTCCGTTGTTTTAAGATTCAAGTTTATCGCTTTATTTTTAATTGTTATCGAATTCTCTTTAAGTTTAATTTAATTTCAGATTGCTTTATTGTTTTTATTGTTTATATCATTCTTATTTCGTTCTTCGTTTAATTTACGTTTATCTATTGCCTTGATTTACTTTGTTGCATTTTAATTCTTGTCTTTAAGTTTAATCGCATCTTTTAATTTAATTTGCATCATTATCATTAAAAATCTCAAAAATAATAAAATACCTATACAAAACCTAACCATCCTCGACCCCGAGGAAGTGAAAGAACCTAGGCCAAGATGAGGTTCCTTGCTTGGCCGATCAATCAGCTGGTTAGAAGTCAGAAGCACGAACACAACAATCCAACTTTTTCCATTCAAGCCAGTCAGTGGTTTGGTGGTGGCACGCCTACTCAATCTAAAAGAAGAAGGACCAAAAAACTCATTCAATCAGCCTACCCGGCTGAAAAGAGGGAAACAATGAGATATACCAATGCAACATGCAATTGTCAAGTTGTTAATGAATTGAAATGTGATATAGATGCAGGTCCAGTATTCCCAAAATGCAAGTACTTCAAATTGTAGTCTCAAACATTATATATTATTATCCCATCTCAATTCCCCCCATCCCATTACAAACAAACAAAAAAACAACAACAAACAACAACAAAAAAAAACATCACAAAGAAAAAAAAAAAAAAAAAAAAAAAAAAAAAAAAAAAAGGATATAAGAGAGACAATCATCAATCATACCTTTCAAGTGAAGAATGGTTAGAAAATTTGGGTGAATGATGACCAAGGATTGAAATATCGGCCGATATATCGATATTTTGAACTGTTGACACCGATATTGGGGGGTAAGGCCATATCTTCTCCAATATCGACGATATATCCCCGATAAGTGCGATATCCCCGATATTTTGCCGATATTCCCGATATTTCCCAATACCCATAACAAAACCCAAAAAAATTCAAAAGTTTTGAAGCAAATTGAAATTGAAAAGATTTTTTGGAGGTATATGTGCAGTGATTAGATATATGTGTGAAGGCTTTTGGCAATATTCAATTCAAAAGATGTTTTGGAGTATGCATGTTTTAGAGTATGCATCAAAAGAATCTAGACCTAGTACTAACTCAAATGAATCTTATGATGGCTATGGTTATGTCATGTCTGATTATAGTGGAACTAGATATGGAGCTCAAGATGATGAAACAGATTATGGACCTACTAGTTGAGTTAATCCTAACTATCCCATATATGGGAGGACAGTAGGGAGCTCAAGAGAGTCATATGTGCACCATGTTCAAACATGGCTTACAAACTATTCGGGTTACATGACTTGGTATGATTATTGTATGAATCTAGATGGTTGTTCCACATTGTTTGAACCTCATAGGAGCTCTTCATTTATGTATTTGGACACTCATCTAAATTGTAATCCAATGTTCAAATAAACTATGGATTTATGCATGGGTTATTCATTCTAATCAACTTTTTATTTTCAAACTTTTCATTAACGCGTATTACATACCACTTATATTTCATCATATATATATATATATATATCTTATTATTAGTAAATTTTGAGTTTTATTTGTTCAATACATTCATTGACAATGTATAGAACATCTATGAAAGTTTTACACCAAAATTATGTGTTTCAATGCCTATATCTGTCATTTTTGTTGTTTTTTCCCGATACCCAAAACGATAACGATATATCCCTCGAAATATCCGTAAATTGGAGGCCCGATATTATCTGCACGGCCAATATTTTAATCCTTGATGATGACTTCTCGTATTTGGATTTCTTACTCAATTGCAGCGAATAGTGCATAAACTCTACTAAGGTTTCAATTAAGCAAGAAAAAAGTACAGTAAATCTGTTTGAAACTGAAAAGAACAGAAAATAAATTATCCATGCATAAAATATAAGAATTAGAAAATAAAACACTTCAACAAAAATATGGCAAAATATTTAACCCCATAAGCTCAAACTAAGTTTAGTTTACCAAAATAAACGTCTTTTTGAAGAATAGAACAAAGCACTTAATTGAAAACACCCCTTAAGAACAACTAGTCATATGCTACTGCGTTATTTACACATCATGGATAAACATATCATTAAGTTTTTTATTATAAAAAAAACAATAATTGACAAAGCAAAAAGCACATAGCAAAACAAATTTCAGAACAAATATTCAACTGAATAGCATCCAATTCACTTAAAAGAACAACAAAAATAGATTACAAGAAATGAGATCAAACATTATATAAGGCATACCAATGCAACAAGCAATTGTCAAGTTGTCAATGAATCAAAATCCGATGTAGATGCACGTCTAGTATTCCCAAATTGCAAGCACTTCAACTTGTATTATCAAATATTACATATCTTATACTGATTCTCATCCCAAAATCTTACTGGAGCACCAAACAAACATTATAACAACTAAAACATTAGTACCAAAAAAATTGAAAGAGGATGAGCCAATATAGAGGCAATCATCACTTATACCTTTGAAGCGAAGAATGGTTGGAAAATTTGGGCAAACGACGGCTTCTAGTATTTGGATTTCGTAACCCAATTGCAGCGAATAGTGTTTAAACTCTCCTCAAACAATCAAAATTTCATGGAAAAATTAAATATAAAAAAAAAATATATCAAAAAAAATTACCTTTAGTTACAAGGTAGCATGTGTAGTGCGAGATGAGAAATGAAGGTTTTTGGCTCTGACCAGTCCTTACACTGGGTGTTTACTCGCAATTTGGATTTCTGAAGTAGAAAAGGATGCTAGTAAAGTGGACGAAGAAAGTATAAGTAACATGATGGTGATGGATTTTGATAGCGTGGAAACCACCAGCTTCGTGGGTTCTGAACTTGTGGAAGTTTTCTCCATGTTCTTCAGCTCTTCTTTTCTAGGCAACCATTCTTCGTGGGTTGTAAACTGTTCTTCACCTATGTTAGTACAACAGGACACTTTTTTCGGTTTTTGTTTTTTGTTTTTTTTTAAAAGCCAATGTGTCTAATTGTTTTACCTAGTTTTAATTAAATTTGTGCGTTTAAAAATTTTATTGAAGCAATATTTCGGGATATTTGAATGTTTCATCATTTTCTGCTTTTTACTTTATATATAGATGATAATCCATTTTCTCAACCACCATTAATAAAGAAGCATGTACAAGTCACAAAACAAAATTTCTTAAAACTACGTGTTTTTACTTCTAATGAAATTCAGAAATAAATCTCTTATGACTATCCAAATATGTGAAATCGTAATTTCTATAATTTCCTATTTTCTACATACATGACATCTATCCACACTAAAATTTACAACTGACGGAATTTTAAATGATGGTTGGTCGGATAAGAAGCCGGTTGGTTGCATTGACGAATTGGCCACGCAAAGAAGGCAAACATCCAATTAGCCACAGAAGGTGGCATTTCCACGGTTTCAGCAAACCTACACATCTCCCTATGCTGCTGCCCTCCATGAATTGTACATGACCGCCAAACGTCACACGGTTAGTTAGATGAGAATTTCTGACAAATTCGGCCAGCCCGGTCGGCTTTTTATTTTCATCTTAAGCCCCTCGCTCATTGTTATTATTTTTCGTTTTTAAACCCCCTGGCTAGAGAATTTTAATTTCAACCCACAAACCAAAACAACAAAAGAGGAAAAGCCCAAACGGAGAAAAAAGGGGAAGAGAGAAAGAGTGCTGGTTATGTCGGTTCATTGGGAAGCTGAAGAGCCTAAGAGGTAGAAGAAGAAGCAGAGCCACCCAGTAGCTGTAGTTGGGTGCTTGATTGTTGAGTGGTCAGCCATGCCTTCGCTTCAGCTGCTGCAATTAACTGAGCATGGCCGGAGTTTCATGGCGTCGAGGAGGTAATCAATCAATCAACCAATCTATCAATCTCTGTTGACAGTTTTTAAGTTTCAGTGACTCTTATTGCGTAGCTAATTGCATCATTTTTAACCCTAAACGTTTCCTGAGAATCTCAATTTACTCTTTGATACCCATGTAGTGATTTGCGCAGTGTTCGTTTTTCTCTATTTCTGTTGATGGGGTTTGATTCTTTGATTGGTTGGTATCTGGGTGTTGCTAGATCCGATCTACTACACGATTTATGTCGTAATTTATGTGTAGCCTTCAAATTCTTGCTTGTATTCTTTTCCAAATTACTAATTTTTGAATTTTCTTCTCCAAATTCTCTTCCTTGCGTGTTGATTTTTCTGCTTACGTTCTCATATAACTATTATGGTGGGTACTGGCATATGGTGCGGTTTGAGGGTGAAAGTATTTTATTTCTTACTATATATACTTTTATCTTCAACTTACTCATACTCAATGCCTTCTGTGTCTTCGCTAAGTTGGCAATGAAATTATTCTAGTATTATAGTCTTTTGATAAGAGGCATTATGCTAATAATGTATTACTGCACAGGAAAACTTTACTACTTGCCACTGGTATCGTGGTTGCTGGTGGGACTGCTGCATACGTTCAATCGCGGTTAAACCATAAAAAGCATGATTCTCTTGGTTATTATAATGGGCTGAATGATAATGAAGAAACAACGGAGAAGGTCGTGATGAATGATCATAAGTTAAAGAAACCTCCACGAAAGAAAGGGGGATTGAAGTCGCTTCAAGTTCTTGCTGCAATTCTCTTATCTGAGATGGGCCAAATGGGTGTGAGGGATCTTTTAGCTTTAGTCTCTATAGTGGTAAGCTTCTGGTCTGTACATATCTTAGAAACAAAGCTTGATCTTCTTTGTTTACTTTTTTTTTGGCTGTGAATTAATCTCTATTACGCTAAATTATGAGTATGCAAAAGAACATCAAGAAGATTGAAATATCCCTTGCGGGAAATGCTATGTGGACAGAAGTAAACCACTCTTTGATTTTCTTTTACTATTTCAACTCAAACTTCATAAGTCAACCATTTCAATGTTTTACTGTACTTATCTCTATAAATGTGGGTGTTAAAATTAGAAAGTGTTGCCTAGTTGACAGTTTTTGTTTGTATTTTGGCTCCAATGTACTTTTAACTTACTTTCTGCACTTAAACCTTGACAAGAAACATTTTTAGTTATCAAATTGGTGCTATCATAGGTTTGCACTTGAGCATTTGATTTTGAGAAGGCCTATGACTATGCGGATTGGGCTTTCTTGGAATTGGATTTGGAACGAAAGGATTTTGGGGCTGCTTGAGGAAGTGGATAAGGGGGCGTTTGAACTCAGTTAATTTTTCAAATGTAGTTAATGGGAGACCAAGGGGTAAATTTGGAGCATCAAGAGGGTTAAGGCAAGAAGTTTTGCTTTCTCCTTTCTTACTTAATCTTGTGGTTGATGGTTTGACTAGGCTCAGGGAAAAAGGTAAGGAGATGCATAAGTTAAGGGGTTTAGGGATGATTTGTTTATATGGACTTTGGTGTCACAGGTGAATGAAAAAGAGGGTTTAGGTGTTTGGAACTTGGTAAGGAGAAATGAAGTTTACTTGGAAAGTGGATATGGAGGTTCCAGCAAGAGGAGAGTGAGGCTCTTTGGGTTGCAGTCATTAGAAGTAATTATGGGTTTCCCAATAATGGGTGGAATTTCATATTTGTGATTAGTGGTTCAAACCAAGGACGAAAATATTGGCTTGATAGGAAGATATATCGTCCAATATGTCAATTTTTAGAATGCCAATACCAATACTAGGGGTAAGCCTATTTCTCCCCCCTCCCAGAAAATTTTCATGATTTTTGAAGGTAATACTAAAGAAGATGCATATTCAAACCAAAAACAATCTGGAATCATTGTTTTAACTCTCTAATTAAGTCAAATATGAACCAAATTAAATCTTAATCGAATAACCATCTACTAACCCAGCCATTTAATCAAACTACATATCCAATTAATCTAATGATTATTCTAATCCAAATTAAACCAACAACATCAATGTACACTGATGCCGAAATGATATCGATATACCCCCTGAAATATCCTTAAATTGGAAGGCAGGTACTTCCTACATGGCCGACATTTTCATCATTGGTTCGAACTTGATGTCCTCAAAAAGATATCTCTCAAGGTCTTCCTTTTTTTATTTCTTATTGTCAGGTTGGGGTGAGAAACAGAAAGAGGGTGAGGTTTTGGGAAGAGTGTTGAGTGGGAGGTAGTAACTTTTGTACATTTTTTCCTCAATTATATAGATTATCTCAATTCACATGATATTCCTCTCAAGTGTGTGGCCAGAGTCTTTTTCTTCTCCTTTCAGTTGGAACTTTAGTTTTTGTAGAAACTTGAATGATCACGGGGCGGGAAGCTAACAGACTTATTGGCCCTCTTAAAGAACACGTTCTTGGTTCTATCTAGGCCAAAGAGAAGATATAGAAGTTGGAGTCTTTGGGAGTCCTTTTGTAAATCTTATTCAAAAAATTAATGGACAATTTTATCTCTGTTTATGGCCCCTTTCATGCAACTTGAGAGGCCAAACTGCTTCTAAGGTTTGAGCATTAGCTTTGGATGGGGAGGGTGAATACTTATGAGAGAACACTTGATTATGTGAATCATCTTTCCAAACACATTTTCCAATTCTGTATGGATCTTCTGTGAACTGTAATGCCACTATTTCTTCCTTTGTTTCTCTCACTACTGGGTTTTGTTCTTGGAATCTAATCTTTAGGTGAAATCTTAATGATAAGGAGGTTGATGAATTTTCTGACATTTTTTGTATTAGTAACCTCTCTTTGCATCCCACCTGTGCTGACATGAGAATTTGGGTGTTCAGGGATCTGGGGTGTTTTCTTGTGAGTCCTTTTTTTGATATCCTTGTTGGGTAACCCAAAATTCCCTACCTTTGGCTCTCGTAAGTCCATTTTGAGTTGGGGTTAGCAAAGTTCAGTTACTAGCTTGGTTTGTGTTCCACGGAAAATTCAATACCCTTGGCATGCTTCAAAAGAGATACCTCTACTGTTCAAATTTGTAATAGTAATCTTGGTTGTTGGTTTGGATTGGGCGACTCTCAGAAGCTGCTATATTCTGCTTGATGAACTTTTGTTGGCATGTGAGTCGAGATGAGCAGTTTTACCCTGTGGTGTTGAACTGTTTTTGCATCTTTCTGGGTGGTTTAGTGTGACAGTAATATAACAATTGACAAGAATAGGGAGGAAGAGCTGTTTTCACTGTGGCAGAGTGGATTCCTTGTGTCCCTTCTAAACATTTTAAGGGTCTGGTAGGAATTAAAAGAATATAAGAAATCTAGGGACTCTTTAGAATCATACAAATTCTTCTAGGAGTCTCACCTTCAAGAATTTCAATGTGGCATCACCGTTAAAAGTAAGCGTAGTTGCTTAAAATTTCATTAATCAGCCTTGTTTAAGTTTCCTCTTCCAAAAGGAACTCTAATTAAACTGAAAACTACAAATTTTGATGCCTTTTTGAAGTAATTGTAACCCCAACCAAACACTACCAAATCAAAAAATTATGAGGTCTTAGAATCTTCTCTTGGACAGAGTTCATTTTTAGGCTTCCCTTTGGGCGTCAGTATCTTTAGAATTTTGGGATAGTTCTTTTCAGGCTATATTGTATGATAGATAGGTATGTTTCTCAGCTCTGTTTTGCAGTCTTTGTTAAATTGCCTATGTCCTAGCTACACCAGGGATGTATTGTGTATTGCTTTTGTAATTCTTATAAAAGGAAGAAAAAGATTATGAGAAGGTCACCATACAAATCAAACGACAGTTATGTCTCTGCATATGGCATATGGGAAATCTAAATATGATTGATTCTTGTAAGTATATTATATTATAATGTATGATCTATGGCCAACAGCTGGCCTTGCATTAGTCTTGAAAGTGCTCATGCATGGCCTCTACTTCATTAACATGATATTGCTACATGTATCGTTTTGACTGACGGTTTTACCTAGGTGCATTCCCTTACAAGCATGCATGCGTATACACGCACACACCCGTTGCATACCCATTGCCCTCTCACAACCTAATAACATGCACTTGTACTTTTACATGAAGCAAATGTGTATATACTAGCTTGGATTGGAGGAGGATGATAATTAGAAGTTGCAAAGAAAGGTTTCATGCATTTGTTAATGTTGGACAAGATATGAATAAAAGAGAACTTTAATGGAAAGCAAGCTAAATTTCGATTTTCTGCTTCTATGGAATACCTATAGTTTGGAGCTTGGATTTGGTCAATCTTCTCAATGTGGAGCATATATGCTTATCTCAACACTTATTTTGCTTGCAGGTGTTGCGAACTGCTTTGAGCAACAGGCTAGCAAAAGTTCAAGGATTTTTATTCCGTGCAGCTTTCCTTCGACGCGTGCCATTATTTCTTCGACTGATCTCTGAAAATATTTTATTATGTTTTCTTGTATCAACCATGCATTCTACTTCAAAGTATATCACAGGGACCTTAAGTCTGCGGTTCAGAAAAATATTGACAAAACTTATTCATTCCCATTATTTTGAGGTAGTTATTTTTACTATGCACTGATGTTACCTTTTTTTAATTATTATTTGCCTATTACTTAATAATGCACTGTGTTCTAGTCTTCCTCTCACCTTGAGTTGCTATCTTTATATTTTCTTTCAAATGGCTTCACATCTTTATACTCAACGAATATGGAAACCGTGTCAGTTTTCATGTTTGATTTGTAATATTTGTGATCAACATTGGTTTTATTATATTATACTGGTGCCAATACATCAAGAAAAGGAAGAACTGTAAAGAAGTCATCAAGAATGAGATACCTAATTGACTTGATTTCTGTTGTGATATTATTTCCTTGAAGTTTGTTTACTGCAGTATTTTCCATTTACTCAAGCCTATGCCTGTGTTATTTAAGTTGAATCAACAGTGACTAAGAAATTTTTCTGTTTGCTTTTATTATCTTAGTGTAAGAATGTTTGCAAGGGTGCTACCTATCTTTTCATCTTGAGGGGGAAAGTCCAGCGGTTGTTTTGTTTCTCTAAGTATTGATTATTTGTTGATATATAAAAAGTTCTTTCAGTCACCTTACCGTACTTAATTTTGACTTCTTCACATAAATTTCAAATTCCCATGAAAATGTCAAGTAGTTTTAGTACATGCCTTGATTGTAATGGGGTAAATCCCTCTGTGTTTATCACTAAATCCTTTCCATTTAAATTCATGGCCTTTGAGAATCTCTATTTGCTAGTCTTATCTGATTGATGAACGTACTTGGAATGAGAGGAAAAGTCAATAGATTGCATGTCTTCATAAAAAATTAGCTCAAGATAAATAATGAAGGGGGGTTTATTGGAATAATGAATTGAATAAAGGCACAGCGACCAAAGATGTTACCAGACTAACTGCTTACCAGACCTCTATCTCCCCTTCAAGTTCCTCAATATTTTAGCATTCTCCAAAGCTGGCACATCCTGATCTGTCCTCCAGGACTTTTAAGAAGTGGCAATCCTAATGTCATTTGGTTTTGTAATTATTGCAACATATAAGTGGTGATCTGCCTAGTTTTGGAAATCCTGATGACATCCTTCAGTGTAATTTGAACTAGATTTGAGTTGGGAGACTGGCTACCATTCATATCATGTTGTTTTGCGTCTTTTGACTCCTTAGAAAATTTTTCTTCTTAGTGTCAATTTTTAGTATAGTCTCTAAAGAATATAATTTCTAGTCTACAAATAATTTGTACGTTGATTTGGTGGAGAGTTCAGTGTCCAGATGCCCTTTTCTTTTAATGATCTTATAGTTAATTTTCATGTGAGTTCAATTGCTATTACTCTTGAATGTTGATTGGAAGAAAATGGATTGTGTTTCATAAAGAACATGCAAATTTACTTTAATATCTTTGCCTCTCACTGTAAGCTGACCAAGAAAATATGGGTCTTTATTGGTATGCATTATATTGTTGGGCCTCATCTTTGCATTGTGATTATTTTTTTTGGTGTTTTAATTCTTGTTTGATTCTCAGAATATCGCATACTACAAAATGTCTCATGTCGATGGTCGGATAACTAATCCTGAACAAAGAATTGCAAGTGATGTGCCAAAGTTCTGTTCAGAGTTGAGTGAAATTGTACAGGATGATTTGACAGCTGTCACTGATGGTTTGCTTTATACTTGGCGGCTGTGTTCTTACGCCAGTCCTAAATATGTTTTCTGGATATTGGTAATTATTTATTGCACTAATTTTGAATCTTAGAGTAAATAGATTAGATGTCTTGTCAATCTGATCACCTTCTCATAACTTTCAGTTAAGATGGTAAATATCGTCATTTGTAGTTTGCCAGCTGAACCTCTTATCTTCAGGCATATGTAATAGGAGCAGGGGCCACGATAAGAAATTTTTCTCCTGCTTTTGGGAAACTAATGTCCAAAGAACAACAATTGGAAGGGGAGAGTACCGACAACTTCATTCACGATTAAGGACACATGCAGAAAGTGTGGCATTTTATGGTGGAGAAAGTAGGGAAGAATTTCATATTAAGAAGAAGTTTGAAACTCTGATTGGGCATATGCGTGTTGTCCTTCATGACCATGGTGGTTTGGCATGATTCAAGATTTTTATTGAAGTATCTTGGTGCTACAGTTGCTGTTATACTGATTATTGAGCCCTTCTTCTCAGGCCATCTGAGGCCTGACACTTCAACTTTAGGCCGCGCGGGAGATGTTAAGCAATTTAAGATATCATACTAGTGTCATAATTTCACTATTTCAGTCTTTGGGAACTCTTTCTATAAGTTCAAGGCGGCTTAATCGTCTCAGGTAACTGATTTTGGGTGAATTGGAAATAGGAAATTGTCTCTGGTAACTCTTGCAATTTCAAAATGGAACTTTTTGTATGAATAAAATAAATTGTAGTTTATTTTCTTATGAGTTACAAGTATAAGGTTTCACTCAAAGGTGTCTTTCTGTATGTATGGTCATAAAGCTGCCCTGTGCCCCTGACTCTTTCTAATTTGACCCATCTTTTTTTCTTCACAGTGGTTATGCTGATCGCATTCATGAATTATTGGCCATATCAAGAGAGCTAAGTGTGGTCAATGGTAAATCTTCTGGGAGCAGAAATTGCTTTAGTGAAGCTGATTACATTGAATTTGCTGGTGTCAAGGTGTGTATAATTTACTAAAATTTCTACCTGTTGGTTGTACCATTTTTGTCCATTATATGGTTTATAGTGAAAGTGTTTTTCAGGTTGTTACCCCCACGGGTAATGTTTTGGTGGATAATTTGTCACTTAGGGTCGAATCAGGATCTAATCTTTTTGATTACAGGTAACCACTGTGTGTCCTATGGTGCTATTTCGTTCTATTTGCACTTGTTTCCTGTGTGTCATTGCTGTCTTTACATCTTATCTATTGTGTTTCTTGCCAGTTTCTGCCTCAATTGTATTATTAAGTGCAAAACAAAATTTGGTTTTACATGATAATATTTTGGTATATCTATAAATGAATAAAATTACCAGCATTTTGCAAAGCGTTCTTTAAGCACATGTCGTGATGTCGTGACAATGAGTCAGCAAATTGTCTCAAGGCACTGCTTGTATAGCAGATGTCACATTTGGCATACATGACAGAGGCGAGGTGCACTGTTAGTTGCTGAGGGTTCTATTTTTAATTTTTGTTTTGAAAAATTTTAGACCCAAACGACACCATTTGTTGTGCCCCTTTACTCCCTTTTTATTTATTTAAGTGTGATTTGCTAAAAAACCAAAATTACTGTACAACACTGCGTAGCCTGCCATTTTAAAAACCGAACATTTAGCTTCATTTATCTCTTAATGATACTTCTGGTGGTGGCTTGTTTAGTAGGTGATTTTGAAGCATGGTTTCTGGACTAATTGTAGTTTCCAGAGTATGTAATTAATGGTACAATTCACTTTGTTTTTTAAATTACAAAAATAAGTTTAGGGTGCTATATGCATGACTTTTGTTTACATTTTCTTCTTCTTTCTTCATAGTTTACATGCCTTTGGAATCAAAGTATCTGCTCATTTTGACATATTGAACTTATAAAATGGGTGAGTGAGTGAGTGAGTGAGTGAGTATGTGTGTGTTTATGGTAGTTCCAGGAACAGATCTAATGGAGATGGGGTGGGGCCTGTAGCTATGAGGGTTAGAGCATGTGGCTGCGAACCATGGTGTTGGGGCTTCAAAGCCTTCATGAACAATATTATGTCTCTCATTAGTGCTTGTACACATGCTTCTAGAGCTACTCGATTAGGTATGCACCGGGTGCATTTCCCTGAGGGTGTCCTAAAGTTACTCTCCAGGAGCGGAACATCTTTTCTCAAAGAGCAAATCCATCAAACTTGGTCAGCCATTATAGAACAAGCAATCCTAACGTGGGTAGATTGGTTAGGGGGATGCAGAAATAGTACCTCAAGATTCAATCTGCATGTGTTTGTCTGTTTGTCTGTCAAGGTATATGCTGATTTTGACATGTTGTACTTATAATAGTGTTGTGTGTAAGTCAAAGTATCTATTGATTTTGATATGTTGAACTTTTACTATGACTATGTGTGTGTATGTTGATAAGTACATTGAACTTATAATATACTGAAATCTTACTGAAGGTCCAAATGGTAGTGGGAAGAGCTCACTTTTCCGAGTTCTAGGAGGTCTCGGCCTTTGGTATCGGCCATATTGTGAAACCTGGTGTGGTACTGATCTCAATAAAGAAATTTTCTATGTACCACAAAGACCATACACAGCTGTTGGAAAACTTCGGGAACAGTTGATTATCATCTTACTGTAGATCAAGAGGTCTTTTTTTTTTTTTTCGGTTTCGTTGTTTTGTTATTTTTGTTTTTTTGTTTGTTTCGTAGGCTTGGTTATTTTTATTTTTTTTTTTGTTCGCTGGATTTAATTTTTATTCTTGGTTTTTGTTTTTATTGGTATTGAGCTTTGGTATTCATAGTCTTTCTTGTTGTTTTGAACGGTTTTTTTTTTTTTTTCTTGTTTTGTTTTTTGTTATTTTGTTTTTGTATTATTTTTTTCGTTTTTTTTTATTCGTGTTGTTGCTTTTTTTTTATAGTTTGGTTGTATTATTGTGGTTTGTTTTTTTTTTTTTTTTCTTTTTTTTTTTTTTAGTTTATTGTTTTGTTTTAAGTTTTTCGTATTTTTTTTTTTTTTTTTGTTTTTTTTTGTTGTAGTTTTTTTTTTTTTTTTTTTTTTTTTATCGCTGTTGCTTCTTTTGTTCTGTGTTTTTTGTTTTATGTGTGAATATTTTATGGTGTTGATTATTTTTTTGTTTATTTCTTCTTTTTGTTTTTGTTTATTTTTGAGTTATTGTTATTTTTCGTTTTTTTTTTTTTTTTTTTTTTTTTTTTGTTTGTTTTTATTTTTTTTTTTTTTTTTTTTTTTTTTTTTTTTTGTTGTGTTGTTTTCTTGTCCTTATTCATATTTTTTTTTTCCCTTTTATCTTTGTTTTTTATGTTGTTTTTTTATTTTGGTGTTTTTTTTTTTTTTGTTTTTTGTTTCTTTTTTTTTCTTTTTTTTTTGTTTTTTTAGTGTTTTTTTTTTTTGTTTTTTTTTTTTATTTTTGTTTTGCTTTTTTTTTTTTGGGTTATGTTGTTTTTGGTATATTTTTTTTTTTTGTGTTTTTTTTTGTTTTTTTTTTTTTTATTTTTTTGATTTTTTTTTAGTTTGTCTTTTTTTTCGTTTTTCTTTTGTTTTTTTTTTTTGTTTTGTTTTTTGTTTTTGTTTTTTTTTTTTTGGTGTTGGTTTTTTTGGTATCTTAGGGTGTTCTGTTTTGTGTTTTTTTGTTTTGTTGTTTGTTGGTATATGTTTTTTTATTTTTTTTTTTCGATTCGTTTGGGGTGTTTTCATGGTTTTTACTTTTTTTCTTTTGTTTTTCTGCTATTTTTTGGTATTGGTTTTTTTGTTTTTTTGTTTATTATTTTTATTTTTATTTTGTGTGTTTTGTTTTGTGTTTTAGTTGGTTTTTTTTTTTTTTTTTTGCTTTCTTTGTTTTTTTTGGTGTTTTGAATCAACTAAAACCAGGAATGGTGGCAGCTTATTGAGAACATGTGATTTATCCATTTCATACTTCTGATCCTTGTCATTTTTGTTTCTGTGTAGATCCTAAATATTGTGAATGGATTCCATTAGAGTTATAGGCGGACCAATATGCTGCTTTGTGGGGATTTGTTTTGGACAATTTTTGTGTTTGTGTTTGCTTGAAGGTTGAACCGTAGATTGTTAGACCGGTATTCCTAATGAGAAAGAAATAAATTGGGACGGTGATGAATTATATCTGGGGAGCAACAAAGATTGGGGATGTTAGACTTTTAGCATAAGCATAAATTATGCAATCTATGAGTGCACAAGGCTGTCACAAAATGAATGGGAGGAAAGTTTGTGCCTAAAGTCGAGCGATGGACGTCATGGCTCTAGCTCAATCGGTCCGCTCTAGTTCATTTCATGATGGGTGTTTGTACGTGGAGGTGAAGTGTTGGGGTGTCAGTTCAAAAAGGTTGGGTTTGCACGTTTGTTATCTACACCATTTTTTTCATAGTTTTGATATGTAAGACACTTCTTTCTTTTATACTTTTCCTTAAATCCAGGTAGGCTTCTCCTCCCACTGAAGGTGTGTGCTGAAAACGTATTATTTTTCCTTATCCAACCCGCCCTTCTTTTTAAAAAAAAAAAAAAAAAAAAAAAAAAAAAAAAAAAAAAAAAAAAAAAAAAAAAAAAAAAAAAAAAAAAAAAAAAAAAAAAAAAAAAAAAAAAAAAAAAAAAAAAAAAAAAAAAAAAAAAAAAAAAAAAAAAAAAAAAAAAAAAAAAAAAAAAAAAAAAAAAAAAAAAAAAAAAAAAAAAAAAAAAAAAAAAAAAAAAAAAAAAAAAAAAAAAAAAAAAAAAAAAAAAAAAAAAAAAAAAAAAAAAAAAAAAAAAAAAAAAAAAAAAAAAAAAAAAAAAAAAAAAAAAAAAAAAAAAAAAAAAAAAAAAAAAAAAAAAAAAAAAAAAAAAAAAAAAAAAAAAAAAAAAAAAAAAAAAAAAAAAAAAAAAAAAAAAAAAAAAAAAAAAAACGCAGCGATCAATAGCCTTGGAGATGAATATGGTCAAGGCTGCGACATGCCCATAAGGCTCTGAATGTCCTTGACCGTCTTGGTTATCGTTATGTCTAAGATGGCCTGGATCTTCTCTATATTGGCCTCAATACCTCTCTGGCTGATCATGAAGCCAAGGATTTGCCTGAATCCACCCCGAATGCACACTTGGTGGGGTTGAGCCTCATTCTATACTTCCTCAAGATGGTGAAACATGGCAAAGATGTTAGGGATGTGCTGGTCAGCAGTGCGACTCTTGACAAACATGTCATCAACATAAACCTTCATGGTATTGCCAATCATTGGGGCGAAAAGGCTGTTCACCAGGCGCTGATAAGTAGCCCCAGCATTCTTGAGCCTGAAGGGCATCACCTTGTAGCAGTACAGACCACGATCTGTAATGAATGAGGTGTGGGCTTGGTCATCAGGGTGCATGAAGATCTGGTTGTACCCAGAGTAAGCATCCATGAAGCTAAGGAGGGCGTGGCCAGCTGTGGGGTCCACCAGCTGGTCAATGCGGGGTAAAGGAAAGCTATCCTTCGGGCAGGGCCGATTAAGATTAGTGTAGTCCACGCACATGCGTTAGTCCTTCTGTGGTTTACGTATCATCACCACATTGACTAGCCAGGTGGGATGGTCCACCTCCTTGATGAATCCAATGCTGCTTAGCTTATCCACCTCCGCCTTCATGGCCTCGTACCTTTCTGGTTCATAGGCACGACGCTTCTGCCGAACAAGTCGAACGGCAGGACTAATGTTTAGCCGATGGGAGATGATGTCTGGTGATATGCTAGACATGTCATTATAAGACCAGGTGAAGACCTCAGAGTTTAGGCGGAGGAAGGCGACGAGATCATAACGAAGCTATGATGGGAGAGAGGTGCCGATCCAGGATGTCATCATGGAGAATGACCAACTCAAGGTCTTCCACAGGTTCGGCCTGCTGGGTGACAGATTCCTCTCTAGGGTCTTCAGGTCTTTCTGTGCCAGCTCGAGGAGGGCCTGGGGCCTGAGTTACTGCGAGGGCCTCACCCCTATGTTGGCGATTGGTGGATTTGATTGTTGAGCATAGCAGCTTCGGGTGCCAAGTTGGTCGCCGCGCACCATGCCTGTGCCATAGGGCGTAGGGAATTTCAGCAGCAGCATATGTGTGGAAATGAAAACCTTCATTTGGGTCATGGTAGGGCACCCAAGAATGACGTTGTAGACTGTTGGGCAGTCAATAATGAGGAAAGGAATGGTGACCGTCGTCCGCTGGGGTGCTGCTCCAATAGAGATAGGGAGATGGATGCTTCCAATGAGCTGGACAACATCACCGGAGAAGCTCACCAGGAGTGTGATGTTTCGGTCAAGCAGTAAGACGGGATCTGGAGGTCGTTGAAAGCATCAACAAACATCACACTGACCGAGCTGCCAGTGTCCACCAAGATACGCCCAATGTCGAAGTTAGAAATGTCGGTGCGAATAATGATTGGGTCATCATGGGGAGAATGACACCACGCTCCTCTTCTTCGCTGAAGGTAATGGGAGCCCAACTTGACTTTTGTGTCTTCAGCACGCATTCCTGCTCAACGCTGAAGACCTGGTGCGCATAGGTGGAGCGGACATAATGTTTGATGGAGTTGTTGGAGGTTCCAGTCATGATAAGACCACCACTGATGGTTGAGATCATGTTGATTTGCCGTTAGTGAGGGTTAGGTGGAGGGGGTGGGAGATGGTGCACATATTTGTCCAGCTTGCCCTCACGAATAAGGCCTTCAATGATGTTGTGCAATGCAACACAAGATTCGGTATCGTGGCCACCGAACTGATGAAAGCGACATAAGACACCCGTGTTAGGCATAGGCTTGTTGTCTGGTGTCCGGGGGGGAGGCTTGGGTATGATAAGTGCCTCGTGCACTAGGACATTCTCGTAGGTGGTGTTGAGGGTAGTGAAGACCTCGAACCTAGGCTTGGGTGTGAAGGGGAGTGGCGCCCGATCACTTGTCTTGGGAGGGTTGCTTCCACTAGACTGGTGGTGGTTGCCATGTCTGCCATGCTTGCTATTGCTGAAGGTATGTTGACAGCTATCCTTCCTTTTTGGGTGTGGGGTACCCTGGGTACTTGGGGCGGGAGTAGAATGTTGAGGTGAGGCTGGGGTGGGTACTGAAGCAGGTGGAGGATCAGCAAAAGTGTTACGCACTGGGGTGGTTGGGTCACGCTTGGAATTGAAGTACTCAGCCTTTACGTGAACTGATGTCTGCTTCATAGTTCAGCATATGTGTTCCAAGGGTTGCTGTGGACTAGGTACCGGAAGTTGGACTCGCGGAGGCCATTCTTGAAAGCACCGAAGGCAGGGCGAACATTAGTCTCTGGGCAGCGGGAGTATTCATGGCTGAACTGGGTTGCATACTCCCGAAGTGGCTTGTCCTCACCCTGCCGAAGCATATACAAGTCGTCGACGGAGTACAAGCGGTCAGTTTGGATCATGAAATGGTCCAGAAAGGCCTACTTCAGACTGTCAATGAGTTGATGGTGCGGGGGTTCAGCTTATAGAACTAATTTAGAGCCACGCCACTGAGGGTGGAAGGGAAGAGGAGGCATATGCCTTCGTCTGTGAGGCCCTTGCACCCCAGAGCAGACTAGAAGACTGTATGTGGGTGAGAGGATCCTCCGTGCTAATGTAGAAGGCGATGTGGAGTGGTTGGATGTCTTTCTCGTGGTGGTAATTAAGGATGTGTTCGTTGAAGGGCTCGGGTCGTGGCTTGGCCTAGAGGGGCTAGTGACGCAGTGTTGCTCATTCTCCAGACGCCGAACCTTCTCGAAGAGAAGCCTCATGGCCGGGTCGGCATGAGGGAGGCGTTCAGGTGCTGAAGGCCTGAGGTGCGAGTGGCCAGGGGCTGAGTAAGGTTCATGTTCTTCTAACGCCTCGATGTGATAGGACTCGTAGTCTTCTGAATAGTATGCCCCCAGTTCTCCGAGTCACCTGCACCTTCCCAACTGGTAGGTGATTGGGCTTCGGTGGGGGGCCTAGGTGTTCCACCCTTGGGTCTTTGAGCTTAACAGATATAGGGATAGCGTCTGTCTGACGATCCAAGATACGGTCTCTGCAATCCTTGTAGACCTTCACTAGTTCATGAGGTCGGTCTTTCGGTGGGGAGATGTGAAGGAGCCGAGGCTTAGTTGTTTTTGGGTAAAGAGGGCCTTTACCCTTGTCAAGCCTAGGCTGGACCGGGGCCCTGTGGTTAGAGGGCACTGGCTAGCTTGGCTGGGTGTGGTCAATATCCTGGGTAAACTCACGTTGGGAACCCTGGGCCTGCGCCTTCTCCCAGTTACGCTTCAGAGTGCGGTCGTCATGCTCTAGCTCAATGTTCTTGCTATGAAGATGTTCGTATTTCTCGGACATCTTGGCAACACTGGCGCGGAGGAGCTCCACCTCTGCCTAAAGATTGACATATGCTGAAGGTTTCCTTCGGGAGGTACCCTCGTGGGGGGTATGGTGCGGAGTGTCGTGGCTATCCTCGGTCGGCATAGCTAAATATGGGGTAAAGAAGAGGTGACGGGGCCTGATGGCAGAAGGAGCCAGCTGGGCTGGTAAAGAGAAATAGGATTCAAGTGTCGATTCCCACAGACGGCGCCAAATTGTTGATGCTCTTTTTCGGAGAAGGTCACTTAGAGAGAAGTGGATTGTCTTCAACTGTGGAGAAGGTGAGGACCTTCGGCAAAGGACTAGCCTGCAAAAGACAAAGTGGGAGAAGCAATCATTAAGCTTCGAACACCGGTGTAGTGCCGGCCGAAGGCTCTCCGATGCTTAAGTCAGCTAAGAGTTGTAACTTTGGCAGAGTAACAGTAAAAGTGAGAAAGTCGTTACCCTTTTTACTAGGGTACTGTTCCCTATTTATAGGGAAGTGAAAGTGGGAGGTTTGTGTATAATTTCAATGTGGGACTGTGTGCAAGTCACTGTGGTGGTGACACGTGTCCTGAAGATTAGGTTCGGCAGTTTGAGAGCTTTGGCAGTCGGGAGCTTCGGCAGGCATCTGGCACCTTGGACGAGTATCTCCTTCGGCATGGGAGAAGACGTGTCTGCCTTAATGCTAGTTGTTTTGAGGCTGGATATGCTCGGTTGATTATGGTGTAAACACTAGCCACAATTTTTATTTGTGACATAGAACTCTTATTTACAAGAAATGTAAGATAGAAGGAAAGAGAAAGTAGTTGCATTCATTCGTTGGCCTCCTTCCATAATTTTCATTTTCCAATCGGGTCTAGCGCCCTTTGGCTATGATACTCAAGTTTTTTATAAAAAAAATTTCTTTTTACCCTTGAGACAAGTGCGTATTAGATTTTTTTTTCTTAAGTTTTTATTTTTGGATTATTTGTAGTTACTGAGTTTTACTTGTAAGTCGTTTAGATGACATATTTTGGCCAGGCAAAAACAACTCCCATTGTGCTTGTGACAGCTATATTAAAAATGAACAAATTATCTTTTATGAAACACTTTAAATAGGAATTTATAGAGAGACCATTAAAGAGAAAGATGTCCAGTTGTGAAAGATTACTTCCATTCCAGTTGGAACTTTTAAAAACAACCAATCCCTAATTGCTGGTAGTTTTGCAGTGAAGCAAACGTAAGCTCTGCTCTACCTTTTTCTTTCTTACTTACTGCATTGTATATCTTGGATCTTGGATCTTGGTTTTTCCCAATGGGATCAATAATTATTCTGGCTTAGTTTGTAGTTTCTCAGTAGGTGAATACAACACTTATATTACAGATTTAGGACAAAGCCCTCCAAGTTCTAAAAGATCAAGTTTCGAAAGGGCGGGGATAAAGATAATATTTAGGAAGAAGAAGTTGGGGAACTATGACCTCTTGTATGTTCCTAATGTACATCATATCATAAGGGTTGTAAAAGATCTTCGACCATTCCACTCATTGTCAATAAATTTTGAGTTATATAGTCACATTCTAATCATTTTCAATTCAAACTTTTAATGATTTTTTATAGAGTTTAGTGGTATTCAATTGTGATTTTTAAAAGTATTTAAAAGTTTAACGGTATCCAATTGTGACTTTTAGAAAGTCTTTAAAAGTTGGGTTGGATCCAAAAAGTTGATTCTTTTTGAAAGTCACAAAAAGTATGTGATATAAAACACTACAACAATAGAATGAAAAGTTTTCACAGCCTTTTGCGCAATCGTTCAATCGACATGTCATTGATTAAAGTCACATTATATGATGGCACAACAAAATATAATGCATTATAACTCTTCACATTTTGATAAATGTTAAATGGGTTTACTAAATTAGAGAGTGAGAATGTGTTGGATGTCTACCCATCACATTTCATCTTTTCTTCTTCATCAAAAGCCATGAAATTATAGTAGTAATAATTACATGTCTTCACAACGATTTTCATCCATTCTTTTCTTTTCTTTTAGAAAAATTAGGCACCATGCCCATAAGCCACACGGGCGAACATAATCAAGGTGATAGAGCACCAAAATATATTGGTAAGTTGTTGATTTCATTTTAATTTGGTTTTGCTTTTTTATTTTCCTTACCTCACAATTTGGATTTTAACCCAAGATTTCCCTAAATTTCCTAAACTCTAATGACACAATATACCATAACTGGTTGAGTAGAGGAAGAAGACTGAAGGTGATTCCTAAAAAAATAAAAATAAAAATTGCATTTAACGAAAGATAACAGAATGTCTATAAATTGTCAGCTTTGGAAAACACAATGATCAATTGACTAAATTTTTTTGAGTGACCAAATTTAATTTTCGTGTAAAACCCAGTGACCAAAAAAGTATGTAACCCATAATTTTAAAAAGTCACAATTAAATACTACTAAGATTTTATGAAATGGTTAAAAGTTTAAACTGGATACCTCTAAACTTTTAAATTCTACAAAAGCATGTAAAAGTTTGAATTGGATACACCATGTGTTTAAACTATCACCAAAGTAGGTCACTATTTTGTCCATATTGAAGAATTTATTTAGCTTTCTCTCTCTCTCTCTCTCTCTCTCTCTCTCTCTCTCTCTCTCTCTCTCTCTCTCTCTCTCTCTCTCTCTCTCTCTCTCTCTCTCTCTCTCTCTCTCTCGACTGGAAGTGTCGTGGCTATTGCAAAGGGAGGGGAAAGCCTTATTTATAGGATAAGCTTTGGATACCATCCGTGAAGGTGCAATCATCTCTTCCAACATGTGGGGACAAGTGGTCCATTTCGCACTCATTCACAACACATATAAGAGCAAATCTAATCATACGATCCAATTTTCCATCAAACTAGTTCATGCCTACTGTGTTAAAATATATAGATTAGTCCATTTTTATTTATGTCTCTCGAAACCATGCCAAATATATGCAAATACACATGTGCACAAATTGTTGGTTTGTTGTTCTAAAAAACAAAATTGATTGATGATGTTCAAACTTAGGTTAAAATGGCGATGAAGAAGAGAGAATGGTGGTTAAATTGAGAAAAATTAGAATTACGGTGATCAAAATTGTTTCGTACCTAACTAGTAACCAAAAATGTTTTTTACCCTTTGTTTATCTTTCATGTTTTCCTTTTTAAAATGAACTTATTTTCTCATGAACTTAATGTAACATTTGATTGGTTTTTTCATGAAATTGTTTGTACTCTTGTACCACCACAAATGCTAATAAATCCAAGTGGTAATACAGTACCACGGTATATAGTAGATAGTAGCAGCTGTTCAAGTGTCGTCTCATTATTCTTCGATACCACCACTAGACAAATGTCATGTGGTAATCAATGGTGGTTCCAGGATTCAAAAGCTGATGGGCAAAAACTTACATACTAAACTCGACCGTACGAATAAATTTCATTAATAAACATAAAACGATACACTAGTCATTGGGGACATAATGAGCCTTACCGTCAAATGCATTTCTATCCATAAATAAAAATTCAACAAATACAAGCAAAACTAAAACCAAAGTAAATACATTGCAATACAAAATAACACTATTCAAATTCTTTGTTCTCTTGGGATTCCGATTGTGATCCTACATAATAAAAGATAGCCTACAAGTAATATGTAGAAAGAATTTTAATCAAATGTACCAACAAAAAATCAAACAAATTCTCATATTAACATCTCACAATACCAAACCAAAAATTATATTCATCCATAATTAAACCCTAGAATACTCAATTTTAACAAAATCCCAAATCAAAGCCCTAGAATAATTCACCCTTAATCAAAGCCCTAATTAATTTCAACAAAATCTCATAATTATAATTATCCCTAATTAAATCCTAGAATACTCAATTTTAAATTAAAACTATAATTAAAGATATATAGCAAAGTAGAGAATAAGAATAATACTACTTGTTGTTAACAAAAGGAGAGGAGAAGATGTTGTTGCCAAGTTGTCCACCCAAGATAATAGAAGAGTTAGCCAATAGAGGGAGAATTTGACCCCAAAAAAAGAGAGGGAGAAACTTGCCGATATCGGGTAGCAAAGAGAGAGAAAGAGAGAAACAAGAAGTCTAATAGCCAAAAGAGAATGAGAGAGAATATATAGGACCGTCTATGGTGGTAATGCGGAGCCACTGTATAAAGTAGATTGGAGATACCTAATGATTGTCCACAAATATCAAAATGGTAGAGCCTAGCAAGACTTTTAAGTCACCTCTGTCGAGTGGCAGACCTACAGAGGTGCAAGGAGGTGCTCTCGTCGCCAAAAAGAGCCATGGAGGTGCTGAATTTGCCCCCTTTCTCTCTAGAGTTTTAAAAGGTGCTATCAAGGCGCACCTCATGGAGTGCGTCGATCTGAGGCCTCCTGAAATCGCATCAAGGCACCATTCATTTGGCAAGTTACATGATTGAGGCACGCGCTATGTTGCAAAGGAGTTACAGAGGCATGTCGCTTATGGAGAGAGTTCACGAATGAAGAAGACAACCTATTTTTATTTTTCATAAACGACGTCGCTCTCATTTATGTTTAGTGAAACACGTGTTTCAATGAAGTTTTTTAAAAATCAAACTCTTTAGTTTTGGTGCAACCTAGATAGCAATAGTTTCAAGATTCATTATTTTGCTTCAATTACTTGGTTGTTATAATAAATATTTCATTACAATAATGTAATACCAAAAGACTTACGCCTCAATGCTCCCAATTTGAAGAAGCCCTTCTGTCCCAAAAAAAATAATAATAATAAAAAAAGACAAAGAAGAAGAATCCTCGCACGATGCTTTCACATCACAATTTGAATATTAGAATTTTGTTTAATTAGGATTTGATTGACACAACTTGATTGTTGATCTAATCTTTTTACTATGATAATATATTTTATTTTTTTGTCTTTATTTTATAGTGCTAATCAACCCTAAAATTATCTGAAGGTCTGGTTCATTTCATAATATATTTTTCACTCAGTCCTGGTCAGTACCAAAATCATTATTGCCTCTCTGAAAAATTCATGGATCTGACATTGCCTCTAATAGCACCCGACCCAAATTCCACTTTGGAATCCGTGTCGAACCCTATGCATGTC